ATAACCATAAAATCTATTTATTAAAAACTAATCTTAATAATATATGTTAAAAGATATAAATAATAATGGCAAACGTTTATATATATGGGGGATTAAATATTTAGCTAATTGCTGCATTTGCAATCTCAACATCCAAGTCTATGTCCTTCTTGTGGTTCTTGATCCCCTATTCTTGATTCATATTACGAAAAAATCCCTGAATAAATATGCTGTACATATAAACTCTTCTTTGATTAGGGGTTATAAGCTTCTTTGAAAAGTAATGTCTTAATCTTGTTCTTAAAACCACTTGCTGATTTGCTAAGTCTTATGTCCTCCGGTAGTGCATTCCAAAGCTTCGGTGCAACGACTTGGTAAAACGTTTTCGTTTTGAATAATCACGAGAGAGAAAGCCTCTCTCCCTCCTTGCCCGAACTGTCCTCATCGAGCCCATCAAGCCACCTTAAATGCTGATCTCGAAAACAAGATTTCGGCACCGTACTTTTCTTTTCATATTTATAATAAGCATTAAATTTCACTTTAAATAAATGTAAATTTAAGAAAAGTTTTTTCCCGCCAAACGCAGCCAGTCACCTTAAAGTATGTACATATTGTACAACAGTTTTGAGATGGCCAGTACAGCTGGTCCTTTATAAACAATATAAGCCGACAAGGCTTATCACCAAACTCCAACGCTTCATTGATGCGGCTTGCTCGGAGTCTGGTCTCGTGATTTGACTGATCCGGGCGATCGACTACCAATCAAAGCTGCTTTCTGTGCTATTGATACTCRATGAGACACATAGAATAAAATATTTTCTTTCACATTTAAAGTGCTTTCAAATATAGCTCTATATTTATGCGTCACTGAGAACACTAGTTGCCAGGATATTAACCGCTTCAGCAAAAATTTCGTAATTACAAAAGACGGGGGGCGAATCTTGCAAAGCATCAAAACAAAAAGTTTAGCAAAAGGATTAGCAAAGAGAATCATCAATCGAAGTTAGCACGCGTACATACGAGTTCAATTCATTACGGTATGTGGTCACGTCTTAATTTCCCTTGTGTAGACTGCTTTCTTTTTAGCTCTTCTTATCCTCTATATACTCTTTCCATACCTTTTATCAATCTTTGACTTTGAAAACTTGACTTTCTTCTTCCTCTTCAAACGACATTTTTTAAAAAGCAAAGGACGCAATCTTTGTTTTGGTTGGTGGCACACCTCCAAACACACCCCCATACGCTTTAGCACGTTTTAAGGGAATACACAGTCCGCGAGGTACAAATAAACGTACTCATAAATTGAATTACAATAAAATTTAACGTAAAACAATGCAAGACCATAAGACAAGAAACGGGTATCAGTGTTTGCAATTCAGTCTTCCATAGCTTTCATTAACCCAAAAATTATTCAATTGCAACATAAACAAAGCTCTTTACCTTAATGGTTCCTATTTGCTATATATAGGAGTCTAAATATACGATTTTTCAGAAAATAAAAAATGTTTTGAGAAAATTAGGAACGATGGATTCTWTTGGATGACGATTTTAGCTTATTTTTGTTTAATCGTTCACTGGCAATAGTCGCGCCAGGCGCTCCAAATCGAGATCGAATATTAAAAGTGATRTATATTCAGATTATACTCGGAAACCATGGAAGTAACAATGGGACAACAACTAACAACTATATTTAATCCCATTACATAGTTCTTTTCCCCCGCTGCTCTTGCATGTAGTCGCCTTAAATTATAACGTGAAACTTGGAAAAACTAAGCTCCGGGCCTTTTCACTGCTTGGCCGCCATTTTGAGTTCGGAGGCCTGCGGGCTTAGCCTCGTTTCGATGATTCAAATTAAATATGCGCATATTATTCAAGAGCAGTGAACAACAAAAGCCCGATCCTCCGACAGGGGCCGCGGAGTGGGTGGGACAGCGGTTTGCCACAGCCTTCCCCCACTTTTTTCCTTTTCCTATACAAGATACGAGATACAAGATATTTTATTGCCAATAAAATTGAATCATATATAGTTGTATATATAATGGTAATTGAACTGAGTGGAGTGCAATTTGGTCTGAAATCAAACGCGCGATTACAAAATCGCACGACCGCGTAGCGGGAGTGCGATTTGTAATTGCAAGTTTGATTTCAGACCAAAATTGCACGACACGAAGTTCAATTACCACTTTATTATATCCATTTTAAA